AAGAATGAAACTGTCTAATTTGTTATTTTTCTCAGTTTATATTTTGTAAAAATATTAAAAATATTAGCATTTCCAAATCTTTGATGTTAAGTATGATTTGAAAACAAAAATGTTTTTAAAAAGTACCTGAGGTTAGTCACAAATTTCCTATTCAATATGTATCTTACGGAAAAAAAAAAAATGAAAGGATATACAGCAAAATTTTAACAGTAGTTGTCTCTAGCTGGGAGGATTTCAGAATAGTGAGAGAAGATTAGAGTCTTTCTAAAAAGTAAAGCATAGGCATGGTGTAGTGGCTCATGCCTGTAATCCTAGCATTCTGGGAGGCTGAGGCAGGAGGATTGCTTGAGGCCAGGAGTTCGAGAGTGAGACCCTATCTCTACAAAAAATTAGTCAGGTGTTGTGGCACTCACTTGTAGTCCCAGCTACCCGGGAGGCTGAGGAAGGATCCCTTGAGCCCAGGAGTTTGAGACCAGCCTGGGCAGCATAGTGAGACCCTGCCTCTTAAAGGGAAAAAAAAGTGAAGCATGGTAACTAGGGAAAATGAAGAACAGAGATGTAGCATTTACCCAATTATTGTCACTAAGCCAAATTAGCAACAAATTCTGATTTTAAGAAACAATCTGGAAAAGGGATTGGCAAGCATGTCAATTTTATTTTAATATTTGCCTTCTTTATTTTTACCTATCTCAAGAGAGCTTGTCCTCAGTGCTGGAATGATGTATTTTGACTTTGAAATGAAGGCCTAGATTGCAACATAGGTTACAGAGCTGAAGAACTGGTGTCCTGTTATTTTTCTTCATTGCTTATAAAATAAGGCTGCAACAGTGGCTTTCATTTTGACTATTTATACTTAATTCCAGTGTTGACTTATAGTTTGGTAGAGTAGTTCATAATTTAGTGGGATGTGATCTCAAAGCCAGCTTTGTGAATGTGCTTAATTGTTGAGACTGATAAGAATTATTAAAATACTTCAAACATTATATAGTATTCTGCTTCAGCACATGAAATATTATACGATTTTTAAATATATAGGTTTCCAAAGTAGTTTTTTTCCAGTTCATAAGCAAACTGGATGTAGCAAAACAAACAGTAAAGATGGGAAAAAGTTGACTATTTGTACAGGTTTACAAGCTACATAGCTAATTCTCTGTGATGACCACAGTTTAATTTTGTGTAATGAGTACTCAGGAATCCAATTTCAAGCAAAAACCTATCTTATATCTCTTCTGCTAACGTTAAGGTATGGTATTACTTTGCAAACACTTAAGAAGACAGATGAAATTGGAATCACCAGGTTAGCTTCCACCTGGCCTGTAAATTTATTCACCGGAAGGATTACATTTACATAATGTCTTCACTGGTTTCAAAAAGTCAACTTTGTTTTTCTGTAGCGGGGGTAGGTTTTGACATTATTTTCCTGGGGGTTCTACAATGACTGTAAATGGATTCGCACCTTAAATTATTTTTAAATCATAAAGTATTTCAAACATACAGATGGGACTACAGAGCAATATAACAAACACCTGTGTACCTGCTGGCTGGCTTTAACAAAACTTGGCATTACTTGCATGGTGGTTTCGTAGTATGTCAACTCACTTAGGTTGCAGGTATCCAGGTAGGGTGGGCCACAGGACATTTTGCCTGAGATTTGGAGGGTGGCGTAAGTGGCAGTCACAGTATTTTACCGTTGGGAGGTCCACTGGGGTGGCCACTACCTGCTGGGTCACCTCCTTGCTGTGGGATCCTCCCCAAATCCAGGTGTGTGTTTTTCTCTGTGACAAAGGACACCAGCTTTTCCTGGAGGACCCCCTCATTATCAGAGTTGGAGGTAGTGAGAGACCAACATGGGTTCCTGTCTGTCCTCAACAGGTCTCGTTTGTCTCCACTCTCCCCGACTGTACATCCACCTCTTGCTGATTTCCTGCTCTGCAGACGTCTTTCAGCATCGGATATGAAGGCAATAGCCTTCCTGAGGCTGTTTACCCGGCTCTCACAAGTGCATCATACCTGCGATCCTTTACATGTATTACACGACTACGTAATTGATTAATACCTGCAATGAATGTCTAAAAATTATATTATTACATGTAATATACATATATAAAATATATTTTTTCTAGTGGTCCTGCCTCTCCAATTAAAACCCTGACACACAGAATTTGTTTCTTTTGTTTATTTTTGAATAAAAGAATCGTACATTTTTTAAAGATCCTTTACAGGTGATTACAAGAGGAGACAAAGAACAATTTTAACTGCAGGAGAAAGATGTACCCTCACGAGGAAAGTCACCTCTAAATGAAACAGAGTGTCTGGGCTCTAAATCAACAGAGAAAAGATTGGTTACTCGACTCATTGATCTGATATTTCTGCCAACAGAACAGGATGAAGTACCCCTCGTATAGATGGTCTTGGAGATGTATATCAAACCCAAACCTCTACCTAGCATCTTTTTCTTGGAGCTCAGCACTGAGCTGAGAGAACTTACTAGAATGTTGGATCAGCCTGTGGCCTGAACTCTGTCTATACTACAACGCAGTAGCCAAAACTCTGCAGGAGAAAAGTCTGTCTCTGATATCTGTTTCTCCATCCTCCATTTCCTGCCTTCTTAATTCATTCATTCTACACACTGATTGTGTCCTTTGAGGCAGGCGCTGTGTTAGACGATGGGAATGAGCAGATGACTAAAACAGAGTCCTACCATTAAGAAGCTTGCTTTTCTTGTTAGGAAGGAGAGAGAAGTACATGACAACTTGTCCAGAACCACCCACTCTAGAATTGTGACTTTCTACTTGGAACTGTGCTCCCTTTCCACCACAAAAACATGCCTTTCCCACAGCTCAATCTCTTGGAATTTTGAGTTCACAAACTCTTTGTGCAAAAAAAGAAATCTAAATTTTATTTCCATAACTGAACTTTATTTGAATTCCCATTGTGCATAATTACACCCTGCAATTCAGCCTCCTCTTCTGCTTTCGTTCCCAAGGTTGAGGGGTGGGAGCTAGCATGCCAAGGCCCCGGATGGGAAAGGAGTATGCTCAGTCCATACAGTGACCACTGAGTCATCCTCATTCCTCTACTCTCCTGGTCTCAAGGGCCACAGCTACCTCCTCCTCATCCTGACCTTGAAGCCTCTCAGTTCTGGCTTTCTCTAAATTACTACTGTGCACAAGTAAATAATTGCACTGCTTCCTGCACCAAGTAGGTGCTTCCTTGGCTTTGGAAACTTAAAAGCATTTTCTTCAGTTTCTGGATGTTTTGTTTTGTTTTTGTATCATCTCTCTAACAGCTAATGCAAATAATGGTGTATTGGGGGTAGGCAAAGTGTACGAGGACACAGAGGTGTCCTGGGAGAAAGGAATACTATACAAAGTTAATCTCACGTATTTATCTAGTACTTTGTACTTTACAAAGGACTCTCGTTTGTATCATCTACTGTAGTATTTGTAACAACCTTGTGAGGCCCATATTAATTTCATTTTATAAAGAGGAAATTGAGATTAAATGAAGTTAAGTGATTGGCCAAAGGCCATACAATTGGTAAACAGCAAACCCAAAACTCAAATGCAGGTTTTCCAACCTAAGCCTTGGGCTCCATACTCTTCCAAAAGCATT